TGTGGTGGTCAGTGTGAGTGGCGTGTGTGTGTGTGGTGGTCAGTGTGTGTGTCGTCTGTGTGTGTGGTGGTCAGTGTGAGTGGCTTGTGTGTGTGGTGGTCAGTGTGAGTAGCTTGTGTGTGTGGTGGTCAGTGTGAGTGGCTTATGTGTGTGTGGTGGTCAGTGTGAGTGGCGTGTGTGTGTGTGGTGGTCAGTGTGAGTGGCGTGTGTGTGTGTGGTGGTCAGTGTGTGTGTCGTCTGTGTGTGTGGTGGTCAGTGTGAGTGGCTTGTGTGTGTGGTGGTCAGTGTGAGTAGCTTGTGTGTGTGGTGGTCAGTGTGAGTGGCTTATGTGTGTGTGGTGGTCAGTGTGAGTGGCGTGTGTGTGTGTGGTGGTCAGTGTGAGTGGCGTGTGTGTGTGGTGGTCAGTGTGTGTGTCGTCAGTGTGTGTGTCGTCTGTGTGGAGCGGTTAGTGGGAATCTCTGATTCTTGATGTTGATGTGCTTGACAATTTTCATATATCAGGGCTCACTGCCCTTTGGAACGCACCATCTTTAATGTCACCGTGCAGTTCCAAAATAGTGGGCAGTCTCTGCTATGGTGACCTTGTTAGTGTTAGCCTATTCTAGCGCTTATGTATAGTCTACAGATACTTCAAAGGGTTTTGAACTTTTTTAAATTTGAAAATAAAGCCCAATCTGAATTTATATAAGTTTGTCATGAAAATATCGTTTAATTGAACGTTGTGTTTTTGTGTGTTTACTGAAAAGGGGTGTCGTAGATTTTTTTAAAATCCTTGTCACTTTTTCTTCAATGCAGCTAGATATTCATTATTAGTTTTCTGTTGATTTGCCTCCAGTGATTCGCTCCAACCATGAGATGGGTTCTATGATGACAGTCCGCATGCTGCGTGGCGACGGGACACCATTCTGGGTCAACATCGTGATGCACGTGCGCCAAGCGTCACTGTCACAGAGTGACGAGCCCTTGATTGTGTGCGTCAACCAAGTCATCGAGTGAGTACTCTTTGCGTCATTGTTGTCTGTGTGCAGCCGGGCTCATTTTGATTTAGATATGTGGCTTTGCAAACAGAATTAAAGACATAATATGTGTGACAAACATTTTTTTGAAATCTCATAATAATTATGATAATGATAATAATAATAATGCTCTGGTGTGGTTTGCTTCTTCTTTACAGTCAAACATCTACCGTCTTTATCTCTCCTCCTTGTTTTTGTGGTTTGTGTATGTTACACTCTTGTTAGACATTTATCTATTCTTTGGCACTTATATGACCTTATTGTGTTGCAAGTGCCGTAACACTCTTACTAAAACTAATCTCCCCTCCCCTGTTGTTGTTTCAGTGGCCAAGAAGCCTACCAGATCAAAGTACAGAGTCACATGTTCTCCATGTACCCGAGCCGGGCGCACGAGCTGTGGAGCTCCCAGCTCTCCTCGGTCACCTCCAGCCCAGACATGGCCATGGGTCACTGGGTCCAACAGAACGGGTCAGCGTCCGTCCCCGTCCCAGGCTACCAGGCCTCCATGCCGGGCTGCATGACCCCCCACGGCCGCCCGTCCATCTACCACGTCCAGTGCCCGCCCGGGATGACCATGAGCCAGGGGAATAAGTCTGTGGTTGGCCTCCCTTCCCCAACCTTCAACGCCGCCTCCGCGATGGTGCAGTCGGACCGGCTCAAGGCCATGCTCAAGAGGAAGATTCAGGGGCCGCAATCGGCCTCCTGCCGGCCCAACAAGATGGCCAAGACGAGCTGGAGCATGGATGACTGCAGCAGAGGTCAGGGGTATAGCGATGTGAACAGCCGGAACGTTCCCCTGATGGAGCACTACGGACAAGTTCCCATGGCGATGTGCCTTGAGGGTCAAGGTCAATCTATGCAAGTGCTGCAGCCCAGCAATTACAGAATGGGTGTACTGACTGCCAGGAAGTCTCCGGAGGTTCTGGCCTGTCAAGCAATGGTGGCCCCGTCACTGTCAAAAGTGGGAGGACACATGTCTGCCTCGGAGCAAGTTGTTCCAGACGTGAACGTGCCCGATTCTTTCCTGACTCCAGATCCATCACCCATTTCGTCCCCACAACCTTCGTCTAACGTCTCGATCAAGACTGAGGTGATGGATCCCGAGGAAGCGGCAGCTCAGAACAAGAACTCCACCTCCATCCTACAGGCTCTGGAGAAGCTGGCGGCGCTCACGCAAGATGCCAAGAAGACGGAGAAGGTGGCGGCTGTGCCGTCGCCCCCTCGCGCCAGTCTGACACAGAGCGCTAGGCCCGACACAACCAGTGTGTCACAGAGGAGGAAGGAGCTCCCCATCTTCGATGCCTTTGAAATTGAAACGTTTTTCGACACTCTGGACATCCCAGAGCTCAAGCCAAAGGCGTCGGCCAAGATGGAGATCAAGACGGAGATCAAGCAAGAGTTCCCGACGGAGAAGATGTGTCCGGGGAACATCCCCAACATCCTGGCCCTGAAGGAAGAACAGTGTACTGTGCCTGTCTACAAAGCCTCATCAAGCCCTCAACATGGTTCACCAGCAGCAGCTGCAGCCGCGACCACTGGTACTGGGAGTGAGAGCAGGTTCCAAAGCCCGTTCCCGTTCCAGTCTCCTTGCGAGATGATTGTTCCTGGAGAGATGACTGGTGGCCACAGCAGCCAAGCGGCGGTGAGGAGTCCGGTGATCAGCAGCAGCCCCAGCCCCGGCAGCCCGTCAAGTGACCTTCACGGGAGCCAGGGATCGATGGCCGGCTCTCCCCAGTCCTCCGTGGCCTCACCAGAAGGAAGCTTTCAGGACCTGCTCAGCTGCTTTTCAGACGATGGCCTTGACCTTTCCCCATTACAGATGGACCCACGAAGCAACATCCTTGACTCGTCGGTCAGCGAAGACCTACTGGACGACCCTGCGGAGACCAGCTTCCTCAGCGCCTTCTACACCAACACCAGCCCCGACTTTGACAAGAGCAGCAACCGTGGCGGGCAGAAGCTGGGGAGCCCAGGCCTGCCGGAAGAACTCAGCCCTCACTCCACTTCCTCTCTGCTGGCTGGGGAGGAGGAGGAGGCGATGGGCGAGGGTTCGGACTTCACCCTGGCCATGGCCCTGGAGAGTTTGGGCTCGGACGATGAAGCTTGTGCCACTAGCCTCAAAGCCCGGGATGTTCTCGGCATGTCTGATGAGCTCAAGCAGCTGGACCTCCTGCTGGGTGCCTTCTGAGGGTAAGTCCATGCTCAAGTGGTAGTGACTCAATATGGAAGTGGTGGTGAGTCGCTATAGAAGTGGTAGTGAGTTTTTATATAGTGGTAGAGAGTCAATATGGAAGTAGTGGTGAGTCGCTATAGAAGTGGTAGTGAGTCTCTATAGAAGAAGTAATACAGAAGTTGTAGTAACTATAAAAAAGTGAGTAACTATAAAAGTGGTACTGAGTAACTATAGAAGTGGTAGTGACTTGCTATAAAAGTGGTAGAACATTAATAAGTAGCAGTAGAAGAGATTGTAAATTGCTAGTCACGTTAGTAAGTCGCCTCAGAAGTAGCAGATCGCTATACAAGTGGTAGTATGTCACTAACCACATTTGTAAGTTGCGACAAAAGAAGCAGTAGAAAGTCACAAGATATACATCGTAAATCGGTAGTCACATTAGTTAGCAAGTGGCTAATTATTCCTTGTAAGTCATCAAATGTACTTCAAGTTCTTGACAAGTTGCTAAGTGTACCCCGAGAAAGTGGCTTGCATACTTCAATAATTGGCAACTGAAATTATAAAAAGTTGCCAGATATACCTTAGCAAGTTGCGAGGTCTTCTTCTGGCGGCAACAACTTTGATTCACTTTTTTAATGCTTGTGTGTTTTGATTATCTTGTTCACCGAGACTACATTTAAGGTCCTACAATACACATGCTTGTGTGTTTTGCCTTATCTTGTTCACCGAGTCTACATTTAACGTCCTACAATACACATAAGTTGACGAAAAATGTATCATTATAAGATTCTATTTTTCCACCCATTATCATTTATTGTGGTGCCAGGTTTCCATGACTAATTCGTTCCCCCCTCCCCCTCTTCCTTTTCTCTCTTCACCAGGTCTTCTCCGCACAGTCAAACACAGCCAGTAGGCTTCTTCCTTTTGGTGTAACGCGCGCGCGTGTCACTGTCGCACTAGTTTGTGTAACAGGCGCGCGTCGCTGTCACACTTGTCCCACCCACACTGTATGGCATATTGTCATGTGTATCTTATGACCCGGCTGCTGGACGGCTGGAGCTGCTGACACGTCCGCAGCGCGCTGACCCCCCGTGACATCAGTCGCTGACATGCGCACCGCTGGTTCGGGCCTCGTCGGCGCTGACTGTCACAACGCGCGCTGCGCCGCGTCGCACGTCATAAAGCTGCGGGCAGCCAGGAGAGAGATGATGTGTGCAGCGTATTCGCCCGGTCTCGTATGCCGCATCCTCATCATCGCCATCGTCGTCGAAATACTACAAGAAGGCGGGGAAATCTATGTTTTTAATCGAAAAGTTTTCCTTTGTAAAGCCTTGTTCTGTACCCAATGTAGAGTAGGTTTCCTAGACAGATATTGTTCTCTATTCCGGAATGTTCTTTAGCGTAAGTGGCTCTTGTCTGCCGTGGGCTGATATATATATATATATATATATATATGTGTGTATATATATATATTCGCCTGGTGTAGCCCACGGTGCTGTGTCCTTTCTCGGACCGTGAGCCGCTTGCACTAAAGCAACACTCCGACTTTGATACCTGCTGGAGAAGTAGAACGACATTTACAGGGACGATCGGAGCTCGGCGCTGATGCCGCTGAGGCTCTTAGTGGAACCTTTGACTTTTTCTGTTGTCCGGACTGACTGCAAGAACTTTGCTTGAAAGCTGCAGAGCCAAGCAACTGGTACAACTGTTCCTCCAGTTGTGTGTTCACCGTGTCCTCTGTCAAACTGTGAAACGGATCCAAGTAATTCATTCTATTGTTGATATGATGCATAATATCGCCCTGATTCATTTTATCTGGTGTTCATTCTGTTAATAAGGTTCATGAGATCACTTACAGGTATACTAGGAAGTCATCATCATTATGTTTAGTATTGAAAAATGTGTTGTTCATCAAATCACTTTCAGATTTTTAATGAGAAGTCCTCATTATTTGGCATTGAGAATAATTTTGTTATTCATTAAATCGCTTTCAGATGTCGTGCTTACTGAATGTAGAGCTAGCCAGAAAGCCAGAGGTTTTTGTTCTATACTCGCAAAAGTTCCCCCACCCCCACCCCCACCCCACCTGCTTTGGTCATCAACCTTTGAGTGTGTCTGTTTCAAAGTTCCACTCAACTGTTACTGATTTCAGTTGCTGCTGGTTTGAGGTTTTAAAGTTTGCATCAAAATGCTTGTGTAGGCTCACTCAAAAGTTAGCCCTTGATTTGTTGCTCTTAGAAGGCCAGGAGGTCAATGTTTGTTCCGCTGGAAAGTTTGGCCCGTAGCTGCGCAGAAACATGGCTGGGGTATATTTTTTGCGTTTGTGTACTTTGAAGTGCTTGGATTTTTTGTTCATTATTTTTGTGTAGGTCATCTCGTTTTTAACGGTGACCAGAAATAGCAATTCATTGCATTGTAGCCTATCTGTCACTGGTTGGCGATGGCTTTGCCGCTTTTAAAATATTTTTTGGTGTTCATAGCCATATATATTGTTTTGTAGCTTATCCGTCATCAGTTGATGATAGCATTGCCAGTTTTCTTCATTTTTTATTGTTCATAGCTATTGATTGCTTCATAGCTTATCTGTCACAAGTTGAGGATAACTTTGCCTGTTTTTTTAATTCATTTGTTGTGTTTATTATAGCTTTTGATGGCAGCATAGCTTATCCGTCACTGGTTGAGGATAACTGCCAGTTTATTCATTTTATTGTATTGTTCTTAGCCATTCATTCATTGTTTCATAGGCTTATCCATTACAGGCTGAAGATAGCTTTCCCAGTTTTCTTCTTCTTTTTTTTTTGTTCGTACTCATTGATTGCATTGTAGCTTATCCGTCACTGGTTGAGGATAGCTGTACCCATTTTTGTTTGAATTATTTTTTTTTTCCATTTTGTTTTGTTTGTGTTTACATTTGCGCTGTGCTGGGATGTTTTGTGCGGTGTAGGTGATGTCCATCCATCAGGGCTGCCGGTCAGTCTCTGACTCTGTGTGGTCACTTCCACTACATCTGCACAATGTGCTCATCCCAAGCCACTAGTTACTTGCACGCTTACATACATAGATTCTTGTCGCAGAATTGTTCCCGATATTTCCTGGGTGTTGAGAGAATTGCCTTTGTCTCGTGATGTTGCCATACCATAGCCTTGTTTGTCGTCTGTCCTGGGACTGGCTTCCCCCCCCCCTTTCCCTAAGTATTATATGTATTTTGACTGTTTGTTTTACCCAACGCTGGTTGTTGGGTGGGAAACAAAGTAATGTCGTTACACGCGCCGTAGGCACGCTGGACGCGCTGGGCGTGTAGTTAAAGTACGCATAATTCGCCTGTTGCTGTTGTTGTTGCTGTTGCTGTAGTTTTACCGTAGTTCGCCATCACGTGCATTGCTCTGACTGTGTCTTCACATTCCACATATATAATACTACTAGACGTACTGTACCTTCTTCTCCCGTAACTCTGAATTGGCAGTGCTGGTTTTGACCCTATTCGTTCTCTTCTAGGTTTTAGCTTGGGTCTCGGAAAGCAGATACATAACAATGTCTGGAGGTTGAAAGTGGGGACAATTGAGTGCCTGGCGCACTCAAAAGTCTGGCATCGATGATAAAGACATTTGCTTGTAGTTAGGCTTTCACGCTGGAGTGCACGTGCCTTGATTTGTATTCCTAATCGAGTCGGAAATGTTACAGGTTCTATTTCCTGATTGCTATTTATTCAGAATCGAGCCAAAAATGTTAAAAGTTTATTTCCTGATTGCTAAGATTTTAAAGTACAACGCCTTTTTCTCTCCCCTATTCTATTGAAATTTCTCTTTATGAATGAAAAACTTGTTTTATAGAAAAACATAACATGGAACTGTTACATCTTACTTTCACTGATGCCTTCATACGCTCTGTTGAATTCCTGTATCTATCAGTGTGATCTAGCATAATTTGTTTAGTGGTCCATATCCGCTATGAAATTGTCTGAAGACACCTAGAGGTATTTGGAGTATATCCAGCAGTCCACATGCAACACATGCTGGCGTGTGTTCAAAGAATAGGGGACTGTGTTATATTCTCAATACATTTTATAGTTGATATGGATTCCCTGTGACGTCAGTGTCCACTTGTTTTTTGTTTTAAATTTATTTTGTTTTGTTAGCATAATCACGGTTACTGATTACCTTCTATTTAAAGTCTAGAATCACTTCACCGTAACCATTTATTAAAATATAATGAATATATTATACTATCTTTCTAACTTCTAAGACCTTGCCTCTTTCTTTTCAAAGAGAAGTGCTCCAAATTTTCTTCTTTTTTTTTTCCTCTCAAATTTCTGTCTGGGCCTTTTGTCTTCTCCCTAATTATCATCATCATCATTGCCATCATCGAGATCATGGCTTGTTTTAATCCTCAGTCTGTTGGTAGCATCTGTCCTTAACGTTAGTCCTCATTCGATGTGATGACTGTTTGTGTATAACAAGAAGACTTTGTCTGTCTGTCAACTTTATTGGAAACTTCTGACTTGTCTCACAGTGGCTGGTCCGCTGAGACTTGTCTTGTTTCGTTTTTTTTTCCCTTTGGTTTTTCTACAATAAAAGAAGTTCTTAAACGGAATTAGGACTTTCTTCCCCTGTTTCTTGTTTATTTGTGGGTTTGTTGGTTTGTTTTTTGCTTTGTCTTTTTTTTTTTTGTCTTTTTTTTTTTTTAATTGTTTTTGAATTTTTTTTCTCCTTTTTGTTTCGATCCTTCACTGGATCAGGTGGTATCATGCTGGGTTATGGTGCTGGTGTGGTGGGTTTGAGTCCTCAGTGGGGCATTATTGAATCAACTGTGGAGTTTCCAGGGCTCCCCATACACATGGATCAGTCTTTTCGGAGATGAGCAATACGTTCAGAGATCCTGCCTCTCTAAGATACAAGTAATGTGACTTTTAAGTGTTGAAAGGGGCGTTAATAAAGTTAAAATAAAGCTGTACAAATGAAAAATGTGTGAGGTGAGCTGACAAAATGAGTTACTTCTTGGATTTTAGCCTTTTATGGAAATTAATACATCAACTTTTTAGGTGGAGTTTGTACAATGTGTAAATATGGAATATCAAAAGACAGTAGACTTGAACAAAATGGCATCAATCTGACCCCAGTTAACCCCCGGGCAGTGCCACACTGACTGTAGTGTCTTTAGGCCATTCCCAAAGGGGGGGGGGGGGCATTTCTCGTTCAAGCGCAGTAGAATTGTAAATGGGCTGATTCATCATGTCACATTCATAACTGTGCCTGATCTACAACAGGGAACTGCAGCTTTTTCTTTCCTAATCCTTACTATTATCATTTTCCTCTACTTCTTTTGTATGTTTGTCACTCTCTTGTGACCTTCCATTTTTTGGGTTCCTTGATAGTCGAAGCAGACCTTGTGCTGTTGAAGCTAGAGAGGTGAGCAGAATAAGTCTGATTCCCTGTAAAGACTTCTCTGTTGACACCCACCCCTTGGTGCTCATATGACCTTATGCAGTTGCGAGCACCGTAAAACCCTCTACTATACCCCGCAAAAAGTGACCCCAGTTACGAGAAGTAACTCATTTTGTCCGCACTCTTCACATATGTTAGTAAGATTTTTTACGGCGCTTGCAACACAATTAGATCATTCAGGTACCGAAGATAAGAGGTGTTACTTGATGCATGTAAATGTAGTAACAAACAAAGAAAAGAATGTTGAGAAATGAGGACGATGGATGTTAAGTAAGACAGAAGGATCAAGCCACACCAGCAGATCACCCGCCAACACCCACTAACATATCTATAGGTCAAGATTTTGAGTTGGATGAGTTTAGTCTCTATTTTAGTAGGTTCTACTTGTGCTGAGTTCTGTTGACTTGTATTTTATGCCATTTATACAAATCTGATAGGTGTGGGTGGTTGGCGGGTGTTCTGGTGTGGTTTCCTCCTTCTTTCCTATCAAACATCTATCGTCTTTCTTTATCTCCCCTCCTTCTATTTTGTGTTTGTTACTCTCTTGTAACACCTCTAATCTCCGGCACTTTATATATGACCTTATTGTGTTGCAAGTCCCGTAAAACACTTACCGGTACTAAAACAAGATCTGATATGTGGCCTAGTGGTTAGGCTATCATACCCGTAACTATGAGATTGCGGGTTCGGGGGTTCGAGCCTCAGGCTTGGAAAAGACACTTAAGACGAAAGTCCCGTTTGGCTGGGTCCTTTCGAAGATGGACGGTAAACCCGGAAGTCCTGCCTCTTAATGAATAACCTACTAGTGTTGATAGGGGAGTCGATAAACCTTTGCCATTTTGACCATTTTCACTGATCTGATGGTGAACTGTGGGAAGTGGTGAACACCGGAACCCAAGAGCTGTCAGTCAGGTGGTGAATAGTGAACTGTGGAACCCCCAGACTTGATTATAGTGAACAGTGGAACCCACAGACTTGATTATGGTGATCAGTGGAATCCCAAAATGTTAATAGTGAATAGTGGAATCTCAGACTGTACAGTTCATAGTGAACAGTGGAACCTCAGATTGTTGATACAACAATAGTGAACAGTGGAACCTCAGATTGTTGATTACCCCCCGGGGCGGTGCCACTGACTAAAGTGTCTTTAGACCATTCCCAAAGGGGGGACATTTCTCTTTCTTGTGCACAGTAGAATTGTAAATAGGCTGAACCAACAATGTCATGCTCATAACTGTGCCTGAACTACAACAAGGAACTGCTGCTTTTTCTTTCCTAATCCTTACTATTGTCATTTTTCCTCTATTTCTTTTGTATGTTTGTCACACTCTTGTGACCCGCTATTTCTGGGGCGCCTTGATAGTCAAGCATACTTTGTGCTTTTGAAGCTAGAGAGGTGAGCAGAGTAAGACTGATTCCCAGTAAGGACTTGTCTGTTGACATCCACCCCTTTGCGCTCATATGACCTTATGCAGATGCGAACGCCGTAATACCTCTACTAAAAAAAAAGACTGTTGATTATAGTGAACAGTGGAACCTCATATTGTTAATGGTGAACAGTGCGTCAAAATCCTGTTTTGAAGGAAAGTTTTATCTAAAAAAGATGTCAATGTCATGCTTTAGACAACTAAGGGATGACTTGGTTTTCTAAAACTTGAAACGCATGCGCACGCACGCACGCACGCACACACACACACACACACACACACACACACACACACACACT